TGATTAACTTTTTAAAAGTATAGAACAGTAACGAACACTCACAGGATCAATACCAATTGGATAAACTCCAACTTGCAGAGCTTCAGTTTGATTAGGACGCCAATGGAAAATGAACATTTTTTCATTTCGTTTGTTGAATAAACAACTTCCAGTACATTTACGCCATCGTAGACTTACTTTTCACCAGGCAAGACACACGTTTGATATGCATCAAGAACGTCTTTTGCGAGATCATTGGTAATGTATTGCTTTTGTTTTCTTTTTTAACATTTACCTCCTTTGTTAATATCAAAGAGGTATCTAATTTAGTTGCATTTGGGTCCTTATTTTCTAATTCGGCTGTATGGTCTAGATCCTCAGGTTCTAACTCGACATTTTCATTCAGATTAAACCCTAATTCCGCTGCATCGTCAAGATTCTTAGGTTCCAACTCCAGATTATTGGGTTCCAATTCCACTGCCTTTCCCAGATATGTGACAGATTCGGTTTCAACTATTTTGTCTTGACTTTTTACAGAGTTTTCAAATATTTCACGCAAGACATGTGTAAGAGAAATGGGTGCTATCTCTGAGTCAGCATCATCTTCAGAACAATTCGGTGAATAGTATCTTAGTTTTTTTTGTTGGGGACGAGTTTCAAGTTCATTTGCCTTTCGTCTTTCTCTATATATTATTTCATCACTTTCATTTATGTGCTTTTCTAATGCGTTGAACCTGATGTGACATTCTTCTTCTATCTAGATCGTTTCAAAATAATAAATTAATAATAATTCTATTGAACATATGAGCAATGTAGATGGCTTGCCTCATTTTCTTGTTCAGTGCCAGTTTTTTCTCTCCCATCATTTAAACGGATACTATCCCAAAATTGTTGTACGGGAAAAGAATGGATGTGCTCATCAAAAATACTTAAAAAGGACATTGTCTTTTCAGCTAAAACATCTTTCTCTGCCCCAATTTTTTGTAAAGCTTTAATTAAAACTTTTTCCGCATGCTTCTTTTGTGAGAATGTAAATTTAAAATGTTTAAAAAATTTCACAGCAGTAAATTTATTAGTTCGGTTTGACAAGTTGGATTTTATGAATTCAGTATAATCCTATTAATAAAAAAAATAAATCAAAATCTGTATTAACCTTTTTATAATTTATAGTAACATAATTAAATAACATAAATAGCACAAACCATCGTAATGCCTAAAAAAAAAATAAGATAAAGGGCGAAAATATAAAAATTAATAAAGGCTGAAGAAATGGCAATATTATATATAAACCTGAAACCTTCTCAAGATAAATATTAGGTCACTGCAATAAAGATTTCAGACAAAACCTACGGCCGAACGTATCTCTTAGGAATTATATGCCAGCGAAACACTAAATAACTAGAACCTTGTATTTATCTTTTGAAAGTTACTCTTTAATCATTCCCTCAGACAAAACCTATGGCAAATTGTATCTCCTAGGAATTATATCTGTAAACATGAATTTTGCTAACGTAATTGGTTTCTTCGTAACTCAAATTTAAGATTCAAAAGAACATTCTAAATATTCCTGATCTAAGTATACAGTATCATAAAAATGACAGATGAAAATTAGAAATTTTGGTTGATACGAATGAGTAAATAGCAAAAAAGGTTACACTGCATAAACAAATTAGGTAAGATTTTCTAGCTAAAGTAGCATTTGCGAAACTTTTTAAAACGAAATCAAAAAAGTATCATGATTTAAATATCATATATATCAAACATCACCTTATTACTACGATGATTATGATGTATTTAATAATCGAACAAACAATTGACAAAAATTTGTTTTGCATAGTATTAGCTTAATGTGTATTATATATACCGACGGATTTTCCTCTTTACGATTCCCCAGATCTAATAAAATAATAGTAAACTCAGTAGCAACAACCCTTAAATGACTATTGCAAAGACAGTCAACTGATCAGTCCGTCTTACAAAGTACCTTAAAACTTGAAAATTATAATATAAATTTGTCACTCGATCACTACAACTAAAACACTACGAAACACACTATGGGATTTGCCCTGCTGCTCACGTGGTCACCAGCTAATTCTGTAGTATCGTACCCTTTTTTCTTTTCCTTTTTCTTAATTTTATGTATTTCGTTTACTCTACTTCCTCCCATTACCCATCCGACCTTATTTTGATATTCGAGTTGCTCACCCGGGCCATCCTCTTTACCTATTACCTTTCCTCCCAAATCCTGTGGCAGATGGTTGGGCCCTATCAACAAAACTAGACTTGCGTCGAGCTAGCAGCAAAGACAAAAGAGGAAGAACTATTTTCCATTCATATTTTACTTATATAGCCATTTTCGATGACCTCATACTTATCACACTCTATTTCATTAAACTAACTACTCAACGATGATCTCATCACTCAATCAATCACTCGATTATACTCTCTAACAATTACTTACCCGTAATAACGTCATAGATGACTGACGTGATCTCGTGACAAATGACTTCGTTCACGGCATTTCAAATTCACTTCTAACTTATTACTGTTTTTCAATTTACGGTTTAACACATTTAGTCTCTAATTTTTCTTTCCGAAATTTACGAATCATAAATTATGTAATCATATATTCTTTAGTGATTTACAGCTTTTAACAAGAAACTGAATTAAGTATAATATTATAGAGGTCTCTCTATATATCATTAATTTAATGGTAGAGAAGTAGTGAATAAGTGCGTACTTAATTGTGTCCAAAAGTATAACGAAAAAAATTTGCAAAAAAAAGGACACTAAATAAAGGTATACAAATTTATATTTTCGGTTTTCATATCCCGACGGTCAGCAGAGCGAGAATCCAAAACTCTTGTTTTTTTAATATATCAACCAATAAAAATCCCTACGCATACCGTATGACAAAAACAAAGTTGGGCCTTTTTATGCATTGATCTATCGTAATATAAGGAAAGCATATACTCGATACAATAAATGATAATGAAACTTATTTTATCAGCATTCATAATATGAAATTTGAGCAGGACTACACTTGGTTTTACTCCATTTATATGTAACATTAATTAAAATCAGATCATTATAATTATGAGCAAAATAAGAAGATACAATTAAAAAACAGCATAAAGTATAGAGGCTTTGTGGTTGAAAAAAAATATGATTCTGAGATAATCATGTTCTGAAATTTTGGTATTGCTGTATTGGTTAATAATTTCGGGTGATATGCAAATCGCAAATCGCTTAAAGTTGCCTATGCCAATTGATTTTCACACCGAAATTGACTCAAATCTTTATTGTTGATTTTCAGGGACAGTTTGAACCCTTTTACGTACCACAAAAGAATATTTCCTTAATAAGATTATTGTAAAAATTTTTAAATTGATTTGTCGAGACTAATAAATTTAGCCAGCTTTGGTAGTACCCACCTGAATACGTTTTAGGTAATTTTAAAAACTTACATTTCATAAAAACTGCGGAATAAATTTTTACTTATCAATGCTATTTTTAATTTATCGCTAGTAGAAAATGCTTATGTCAACTCATCCACGCTCTTAGAAAATGTTTCACTTTCTTTAAGTATTCAATTTTTGGCATAGTAGAAAATTTACTTAAACCATTTCTTTTGTCGTAGGATTATAGTAGACAAGCACCTACCATAAATCTATAGATCTATCAATTCGACAATTTCAAATGTAATTATATTCATTCCAAAGTTCATTGTATACCATTGCATTTAGTGTTCGACTTGATTGATTCGAAACTGGCATGTTATAATATATTTTATTATATATGTAGATAATCATTATAATAAATACATCACAATCAGGTCAGTTTCGGGACGTTCGATTTTTATAAATTTTATATAAATATATTTTCACAATTTTCAGATTCTAGAGTATCATCCTCTTCATTTACTGTATACACTTCAAACAAATTAGCAATAGTTTATGCTACACCATTTTAATGCTAACAAAGCCTTAAAATAGTCATAACTTTACTAGAATCATGTTCTGTTTCATTTTTTTCTTAATGCAGGCTAAATTGCTAAAATTTTACATAGGCTTCTAGTCTGCGTAGTAATTTGCTACTCCATACTTTATTATAGAAGTTACCTTGTACTGCAAATGACCTACTATTTTATATCCAGTATCCTATGCAAGATGAGCAACTCATAGATTGTTTTAAGTTATCGGTTTAAGCATGATTACATTGCGCAGCTATGTACCTGATGTTTATTTTAGACTATGTAAAATGCTTTCAATTTTGTGAAATGACAGATCACCTTTTATGCCTAGTAAAAATACGAATCACTCATACATCAATATTGAAAAAATTTTTTTAGCATATAAAATTTTTTTTACCGAATATTCGGGTTGAATATCAAATTTTTAAGTAATAATTTTAGGAGAAAGTGAAACCCGCGCTGCATAAATTAGTAAACCTCGCTATTTAAATAATGTTAGGGGGGATCTACGTAGAATATTTTGCTAATTCACAACACGGGTTTCACCCTGTCGTAAAATGGTTATTAAAAAAATATATATCGGTATATAATTTTTTAAAATCCGTTGCCGGTCACCAACACTAAAGGTTAATCAGTAATATGAAAAAAATTTTTTAATGAGACAATAAAATTCATAAATAAATTGTTTCTTTATTAAAAAAATAGGGTTAAAAAAAAATTAAAATCTGGGTTTGCGGGTCTCGAGAGCAGTGCACAAAATCGTGACATGACGTGTCCTGATTTTTTTCCGACGATCTTTTTATTAAACGGAATTCGGAACCCCTAACCAGAGGTATAACAATTATTAATTTACGAAATAACGGAAAATTTCCGATTGTTAAGAAATTTTATCGGAATTTTTTTTAGTTCATCGGAATCTCCGGTATTTTACAATAGGTTTTTGTGCACTGCTCAAGAGGCCAATTAGTAATATGAAAACTGAAAATTGAAAATATACCTAACATAGTTGTATTAAGAAATACAATGAATAAACTGACATAAACAAAGTAATATGACGTTAATCAAATTAATAGAATTACGTACACAAATATGTATAATGAATATGAATTACTAGATCTTTTTTGGTTAGTCTTATATAGCTTATAAAACTTTTAATGATAAAATCTTGTTTACAAAATCACATTCCAAAAGACATTTATGAGGTGATATTTTGAAAATATTCGTTGTTTCAAAATCATTATGTAATTCTTGTATTATTTATATTTTGATTATAGAAGTATTAATTTTTTTTGAATTAGATTCATTAAAATAAATGCTAGATTTGTTTCAAAATAAATTATTATTTAAGAAAAAAAAAACTTTTTGAAAATTTTTGGTTGGCGGGTAATGTAAAACGAAAAATTAACTTTGTATGACCTTATTGGTATCCATTTACATAAAGGAGCCTAAATTTAGATATGGCAATTAATTTTTTAGTAATAATAATTTTTTTATTTTACTTTCTGCAATGCAATTAATCTGTAACTTAAAGGTTTAGTTTAGACACTACAGTATCTCTCTAAATCTGACTGTACTATATCGATGTAACGCAAATTTACTTATTATTCATAAGTGAAAGACCGTTAGGCCAAGTTTATCTTAATTCGATTTATGTTGGGTGTGTGTTATTGTGGTAGATTATATAGGTAAATTCATTTCTCAAACATTTTTATTAGTGCCATAAGATAGGTTTTAAAGATTTTTCATATTTGATATTTTCTTTGGCTAATTTGTAATTAATAATTATTTGAATTTCTTTAAGAGTAAAGAAAAAAAAAGTACTTTAGTGATAATAAAGAATGATAATCTTGTAGTTAGTATAAATCGTAGAATAAATGTAATAAGTAATACTGCAATAGTTATAAAGCTTAGATCCATAATATGTTGGATATTGAATTTAATAGTAAAATTCAATTAGATATCCGTTAAAGCTAATACAAAACGAGTAACAGATCCAAACTCAATAACGTTATACAAAATGCTAAAAATAAACGTTAGGATATTAATTTGAAGACGTAAATGTACATTTGTCACAGTATTAGTTAGCTTTATAATTTAATTGTTAAATTTACATTTGAATAAGTAAAACTAAAAAAAATTAATTTCTTAAAAAGTTATCAAACTGATAAAGTTTATTATTGTTTTCATTATAAAAAAGGTATGAATTTGAATTTCTACATGTTGATTAATCTATAAGTTGATTAATTTACTAGTTAATGCAAAAAAATGGTTCAACTATTGTATATGGATATAATCATGCGAAAACTGGAGGACCCGCTTTGCAAGTAGTATCTTGAGTATCACAATCTTGTCCAGAGAAACTCTTATCGCCAGAGTTAAATTTATTGAAACATAAATTATGCTAACGTTTAGAAGAAAAAGATAAAAATAATTAGATTATTTTTATCAAGATTATAGCAAGTTAAATCTAAACAACTTACTTGAACGTCGCATTGACGACCATGAGCGGCATCAACATTGACAAATTTATCGCCATTAACTATAAATTCTCCGTTATTTTGTTCTATTTTTGGCATTTTAACTCCACCAACAGGGTTTGTTTCTGCAATATTCTGATCAGTATTGCTTTGTCTCTTTTTCATTTCCAAATCCTTTTTGCCTTTACACTTTTTGCCTTTACCCTTTTTACCTTTACCCTTTTTTTCTTTTTTTCCTTTACACTTCTTGCCTTTACCCTTGCCTTTGCCCTTGTCTTTGCCCTTGTCTTTGCCCTTGTCTTTCTTGTCCTTGCCTTTGCAATCTTTACCTTTTTCACCATTGTCATCATTGTTATCTTTGTTAACATCGTTACCATTGTTGCTAACATTGTCAACGCTGATAGTATTGGTGTTACTAGTGTTAACACCATTTTTACCAGTTGGATCTTGGGCTTGCGTTAATCCGTCAAGCTCTTTGTGTTTTGGAGGTCTATTAAAATAAAATAAAATAATAAATATTATTATAACAATATCTTATTTATTCAGTGAGATAATACGAAACATACTTTGTACAAAGCTCGGATGGTTGACCAGCATTAGGAGTATTACGTTCAAGTTGTCGATATGTTTGGGCAAGTTTAATCATTTGTTGCTCTTTATCACCTTTTTTTTTTATTCGTAAAATTTATTCAAATATTAAATAATAAATCTTTAATCCTTTAATCAAACTAAAAAAAAATAATAGCATACCTCCGATTTGCTGACCAAGATCAATAATATCATCAGCACGATCTTGTTGATCACATGCAGGAGCTTTAGCTAAAAGTGCCCGAACCATAGCTCCCGACAGATCACCAGCTTGTCCCTCCTTACCAGTACCTTGAGCGATATCTTTAATTTCTTGAAACGTTGCATCAGCTTGTGGAGTATGTTCTTGACCGAATCGTCTTTTATCCAAACCCACTGGTGCAGCGTTAACCGTTAATGAAAGAACCAAAAAAGCTGAAATACCAATTAAAAACTTCATGTTTGATTTTTATTTTTTTTTTTAAAAAAATAATAAAGTAGGAAGTTGGTTTTTTCTTATTTGAGACCAGCCCAATTATAATAAAATGATAAAGAGAATGACAAAGAGAAGTTCAATTGATAAACTTTAGAAAGAACCAGCTTAACTTATCAAATATTAAATTAGAAGAGAACTTCTGAATGAAGGCTATGGCGAGAGGGATGTATTTAAATAGTTTTTTTCGATAATCTATTATTTACATATTAACTAAGACAAAATTAAAAATTTTACTTTCCTGAAACGATTAATTTCAGAATTAGATTTATTCTGCTAGGTTAATTTCCTAAAATGAACTAAATTTAGTTATTAGTTCATTTTGAGGCCGATCAGACTACTAACTAAAATTTTATCAATCAGATATAAGTGATTTGATCGGATAATTACCTTGATCCGTATGTGAATAAGCGGAAGCTTTCATTTCCGTTAATTCTTAACAGATCATGACATTATTATTACAAATATCGCTTTCATAAAATTAGTTATTATTAAGTTTTAATTGTCAAGTTTCGAATAATATACAGTCGACTCTGAATATAACGAACTCAAAATTTTAAAATTTCACAATGTAATTTTTATAATGATATTTTAGTTTACTGTATACGGTATGTTTGTAATTATGGATGCAATCATCTACTCTTTTTTTTTTATTAATAAAACTACTCTTAAACATTAATCTAACCCTAAACAAAAAGCTAACAACGAAGGCACTAAAACTTTAATAATAAAATAAGTTAAAATCCTAATTTAAGCAAATCTCAGCTTAATCTGCCACAAATCATTATGGTCCAGTTAATCCTTTACCTGATGAAAAATCCATGCTACTATTCGAATATTTTGGAAAATTTGAAATAATTTTATCAAACTTATACTGTGTGTCACATTAAATTACCTTATAGATGTAGCCGTTTAAAAGAAAGTCGTATATAGATTAGTAAAGTCTATTCATTACTGTCGCATGTTTGATGATCTAGTGCCTGCAGCCTTATACATGAGCCAAGTCTTTTACATTCCACCAATTTTAATATCCCCCAATAGATTCACATGTCGTTAAAACAAAGAATCCATATGTATTTATTTCACCGATAATCGTCTTACCAAAAAGGCATTTAACCGGCGTAACAATTTACAATTTATAAAGCTAAAACTACATAATACAGTAATAAATATATTGTCACCATAAGTGATGAGTGATTGTCATAGTACACAGGTACGTACATACATATTTATACAAATGTGGAGATTTTTTGTATATCAGATACGCCATTTATGGTGCGTATGTAACCAGAGATTTTTTTTTGGTAACTTTCGTACGTAATTGGACTATCTTAATAATTTAATTTTATGTAATAGTTTATTACCTAATTTGGGTTTAAACAAATTATAATATATAAGTATATGATCGCTTATCCAGTTACAGAATTAATGAGAATTGGAATTGGTTAACTACTTAATTAGTGATTTGATGCTGCCAAGAGAAAACCTGACATCGGGCTTTTAATTATGTTTTGTGTCCAGTTTGTCGTCTAAGGGCAATCTTTCATCGGGCATCAATTATATTTTTGTGATAAGTTGTCACAAAATATAATTAAAGCTGATTATAGATTTTCCCTAGACGGCAAACTTGATACAAAATAGAATTGAAAGCCCGATGTCAGGTTTCCCTTGGCAGCACTCATTTATCAATGATTGTTACGGAGTAGAGATGGGCACGCGCGGGATTTTTTTGGATCCCGCGCGGGATTTTTAATATGATCCCGAAATAAGATTATTCGGCCGGCATTACCATAAT